CTATGACTTGACAAGATCTCTGACTTAGGTTCTTAGCTCAGTGAATTGAGTGAATGAATATAAGCAAAAACTTAATCAAGCTTTTAAGCAGGTTGTATTGCAGGAGAAACTCTAATTCTGTGAGCAAAAGTCTGTGATCTCCTGTTTAACCTAAAAGTTTACATTCAGTCTCCCAAACCTGCAACAATGGGGATCAAGCTGCTAAAAGGTACAACCGCCTAGGAAGAGACTCTTCCACCAGTGCCCATCTCAGATGCATATATGGAGGATGGTGAATGAGGGGGCTTTTCCCAGAGAGCAAAACCAAGGGCAGCTGGTTCTCTACAGCAGGGAATTATTGAGATCCCTCTCAAGTAGTATATATTGCTCATGATCCTTGTGGTTTTTTCCCTCCTTTCCTTTTTTTTTTTTAATTTCCAAATAGGAGTTTTTCTGACAGTGGTCCTGTTTTCCACTCTTTTCTCCCCTAGCCTTTGTATAATGGGTCTGTTGGGGTGGTTAAATATTCTACCCATAGACTGTCAGACAACATGGAACTACATGTAGACCTGTCTGGGAGAGATCACCCAGCTGTCTTGAGTATAATAACTTAATGAAACTTAACATTGGGCTATATCTTTTTGGGAAGAGGGTGAGTGCAATTTTGTTGGTACATCGAATAGTTGCATAATGTTGGAAGGATACATTTAAAAAATCATGTCTGCAAAGAAAGGTGTGTATAGTTGTTAGGAAGTAAAGGTGTGGACTGTAGTGAGTCCTGATGCCATTGTTTGATACAGCTGTGACTGAAACTTGACTTCCTTCCCTCTACTTTTCAGTTTTCAAGCCAATAATTTCCCTTTTTAATATAACTGAGTTTCAGTTGGTTTTATTATCATTTGCAATGAGAAATATCCTCACTGATACAACACATATATATTTAATAGCTATCATCTTGTAGGGGAGGAAAAATATTTTTCCCTCTACCTTTCTAGGTTCTTGGCTGAGACTCCTCTATAATAAAAGACAGATTAATAGGAGAAAAGCAAACAGAAGTTTGATAACATGTATACCTGCTGTATCCATGGAAGAGACCCAAGGGGACTAACTCGCTGAAATGGCCCAAACTACCACCTTTAATACCATCTCCAGTTAAAGACGAAAGGAGATATTGGGGGAAGGGAGCCAGTTATAGGAGGATGTCAGGAAAAGCAAAGTAAGTAAGACTATGGTTGTTATATAGATTTAACTCCATGCCTTCTCCATTGATAAGGGTTTCCTGAGTTTTAGTCATCCTTTTCCTGGTACAGAGAAGGAGACACCCTTACAAATGGAGATTTCCTTTCTAACTGTAAATGTCTCATGAAAGGGTAATTTCTACTATTCATTTTCAGAGCTTTTCCTATGACTACTGTTTCTTAAAAAATAATCAGCTTGAAATAATCCTTATGCCAAAGAGGCATATTTTGGGGTGGCAAATTCCATTCCACTTCTATCCCAAAGTCTTTTCTGTAGACAACCAACTTACCAGGGATGATGGTGTTAGCAGCTAAGAAAATAGACATATATTTGTAAGTAGATCAACTTATTTTCTAGAATATAAACTACTTTTTACCAACTTACCCTTTGAAGAGAGGGAAAATGTCTCGCCATCTAAAAACCTGATTAAGTTAATTCATAATGTATTTCTCAGATTTTAGTGGCCACAGGCATATATGGGTTTTAAATGTAATGGGATTGGATAATTTGTTACGCTATTTTAAAAAATTATATTTCTGATGGATGTCCACTAAAGTTACTGTGATAATCACTTCATGATGTATGTAAGTTGGATCATTTTGCTGTACACCTTCAACTTACACAGTGCTCTGTGTCAATTCAATCTCGATAAAACTGGAAGATAAAAAATTATATTTCATTATTGGCAGATACATTTGGGGGTTGCAAGCTAATCTTTATGATCACTGAAACTTTATGGACATAATAGATTAGATCCTTGGCTCAGGAAATTTTACAAAGAGTTCCCTAAGCTGTGAACCCTGTCTATGTAATTCACAGATGTCTAAAGATATTTAAATGATATAGTAATGCTGACAGAAAGATAATTACTTTCACTCATAATTAAATTAACATTTTCTGATAAGCCATTAAATATTACTTTTCTGTTCAGGCAATGAAAACTTTGTTCCACACCACAGACCATTTCACTGCAAATGAAATCAGAAATGGAAAAGTCTAGTTACCTAGCCTAGTCCCTGAAACTCACTATTAATAATAGTATTTTCAAAGAGGTCCTCCAGTACCTTGCATGGCATTTTTCCCTGACTTTCAAAAATTTGATGTTTTCTCTTCTTCTTTCCCCTCTTAAAAACATTTTTCCTTTTTGATAAGGTTTAGTGTGGTTTGAGGGAAGGGACAAAATTAGATGTGTTTTTAATCTGTGACTTTAACTTAGAAGGTTCCATTACACATTGAAAGTGCCTGACCCAGAATGGGTACACAATAAATGGTAGGTAGTATTATTGTGGGTGGTGGTGGTGGTGGAACACTAGGAATCAATGAATGGATTTCATTCATTCCAATGTCTGAGGGACTTTTGATAAATTTGAATGAACCTAGTCTATCTGGTCCATGCAAAACATACACATTTCTCACACTCTAACGGATTTTTAGATTCTTTGTTTCCTCTTAGTTTTGTAATGAGTATTTAGTGTGAAGATTCTGAGCTTATCTTGCGAGAAATACAAGGAAACAAGATGATCTCAAGCATTGTTGGGATTTTTAGGGGGACTCTTTGTGGCATCAGACTTGGTCCCCATCATTACTTATATTTAGTATCAGTAGATCCCTCATCTTAGTTGTACACTTGCATATTTCAAATTTCTTTTCTGTCTACTGGTCCCCATCATTACTTATATTTAGTATCAGTAGATCCCTCATCTTAGTTGTACACTTGCATATTTCAAATTTCTTTTCTGTCTACTTTTGTTATATCAAATTAATTTCATCAGTATGGCATCATGCCATGATAAAAATATTCCCTATGGGGTTGGAGGAGGCCACAGTTTTGGTGGACACTAAATCATATCAAATTCTGTAGGCATTTATTGTCAAACAGCTTGAAAATGCAGGACAGATATTAGGATGAAGATGTGATCTCTGGTATCTAAAATTTAGTAGAAAGGATCAGGCAAAAATGCTCAGGTGACTAAAATGAAACAAGATAGCAAAATACATACTATCATATAGAGTGCTTACTCTATGAGTCTTTTTTTAAAGTACTTTAAAAATAGTTAAATTCATTAAGACTTTAGACAATTATTATCTCCACTTTCATTTGCAGAAACTGAAGCATATAGAGGTTAAGTAATTTGTCCAAGTTACAAAAGTAGTAAGTAACAGATCTGGGATTTGATCTTACAGAGTCCAGTTTCAGAATCAATGTGCTACCCTGCCTGTTAAGCCAAGGGCTACATGCTTATTCAGATGAGTGAGTGAGCCCACGTGTACTTGCATGGCTGTGTGTGTGTGTTTGTGTGTATATATACAGGGAACAGAATGGAATTTAAAGAGCACTTGGCATTTAAGCTATATCTTTCTGGTTTCATGTGTCTCTGTGTTCAGTTCGTTCCATCTTGATCTTTTCTTAACGTTCCAGTTATACTCCACTTGAAACTTCAGAACTCTTGGGCGTTTGATTTCTGCCATCAGGTCAGAACTTTATGACTTTGGACCAATAGCCTTTGCAAAATTTCCAGAGCAAAGTAAAGGTACATTATGTTCTTTAGAAAAGGCTATAGGGTTTCAGACAGAACAGAATGAAAGTCACTGCATCTGTGACCACACATTATATAGTTGGTTTTATAATAGAAATTATCAGACCAATTCATCACTATATCCAATTGATTCTAGGTCCAAAATCATTTTAGCTCTGATTTTTGAGGTTGACTGAGTAAAGATAGAGAGTGTGGATGATGTGTATGTGCCTGTATTAGATAATAAGTGAAGTGTGGATCCCTGCTAGGGCCTAAACTGTGAGTTGTCCTGCAATTCACACATACCTGGGAAGAGATAAGTAATGGGACGTCAAGGGTCTCTAGGCAGAGGAATTTGGGGAGGAATAAGAACAAGGGAGCTCAGAGGGCATTATGGGAAAAGACTTTGGGGAGGGCAGCTCTGGTCTTGGAGATCTCTCCAAAATGGCCCCATGGGATCATGGTTGAGGTCTCTGGTTGGAGGGACTGCTGGAGGCAGATGCCAGAGGGGTTTTTCCACAAAGGGTGACTCAGGAGCACAAACAATGCCAAGATGGTGACCATGTGACAAAGTGTGACCAAGACAGGGAAGAGGATATTCTTCCCCCTTCCTGTAGAGCTCAATATGACCTCAGGGTGGTAAGAACCTCCTGAAAGGGATGGTGACCCTGACTGAGGGCAAGGGGCAGAGCCAGCTCAAGTGGCAGGGACCTGACTGGTTTGTTTGCAGCATACATGAGACACATTTGGGGATTCCTGAGAAGTTAGAGCGGCCTGGAATGTAGAGATGAAAGAGGGTGAGATATGGCTCACTTTCTGCAGATTACACACTAGCTAGTGCAGTCCAGGAAATAGGTGGTGTAGAAACTCATCTTTTCCACACTATTTCTTGAATGAATTCTGCTGCATGAATTTATTGGAGTTAGATGACTCCAATACTAGTTTGTCACTGTTCTAAATTCATTGGATAGGCTGTTACTTAGTATGAGTCCCCTCAAGAAGAACACCTTGAGACAAAGATGCTATGCAAATAGTTCACTGATGAGTTAATTCCAAGAAACACTAGTAGGGAGTGGGGAAGTGAGACAGGGGGAAAAAGGTAGCAAATAAAGTGTGGGTTATGAAGCCAGTGACTACGGTGGGCAACCAGTGTGCAATATCACTGGGGAAATCCTGGGAAATAATGTAGAGCACACACCTCAGAGTCGGCTCTCCTGAGAGGTACAAGAGCTGGGGTATTCATCCACCTGTCCTTGTTATTTCCAGGGGAATGTTAATCCTCAGCACCTCCAGTAGAAAGAGCTGCTCTAGCGGCCAGAGAAAGCCTGCAAGAAGAGAATTGCAGCTGCTGGCATTGGAAGCTACATTGGTATGCATGGAAATGGTAAGTGTGGGGATAGGATGGGTTGCACACCGCATCTGCTACTCCTATGGTGTGCAAGGTCTTCTGGCTTGTTAGTTCTGCTATTTGGCATTGTCTTGGTTATATAATGGATTTTCCTGCTGACCTGAACCCGACAACTTCTAGTGCTTCCTCTGTTGGCACTTCTGTTCTTTTTGATTTTCCACTTCATTCTGTTTACCATCGCTTGGCCTTGGCTTTGACATTGGAGGCTAGTGGAAAGTTACTTTCCTTTCTGTGCCTCACTTGTTCTAATGTCTAAGGTAAGATTAATGCCTTTTTTTTTTAACACTGTTGTCTGTACAGGCGGACCTTGTTTTAGTGTGCTTTGCTGTATTGTGCTTTGCAGTTAATGCATTTTTTACAAATTGAAGGTTTATGGCAGCCCTGTGTTGAGCAAGTCTACCAGTGCCATTTTCCCAATAACATTAACTCACTTGGTATCTCTGTGTCATGTTTTGTTAATTTTCTCAATATTCAAACTTTATCATTATTACTATATTTGTGATGGTGATCTGTGATTAGTGATCTTTGATAATACTGTTGGAATTGTTTGGGGCGCCATGAACTGCACCCATATAAGATGGCAAACAGAGAAATTGTTCGTGAAAGGAGGCGTCAATTGACATGGCAGACTTCATTGCTGCCTTATGTTAAGGAATTGCCACAGTCACCCCAGCCTTCAGCAACCACCACCCTGATCAGTCAGCAGCCATTGACATTAAGGCAAGACCTAAAAAAAAAAAAAAAAAAAAAAAAAAGGCAAGACCTTCCACTAGCAAAAGGATTACAACTTGCTGAAGGCCCAATGATGGTTACCATTTTTAGCAATAAAATATTTTTTAGTGGAGGTATGTACACTGTTTTTCTAGACATAATGCTATCGTACACTTAGTAGATTATAGTATAAACATGACTTCATGACTTTTATATGCACTGGGAAACCAAAAAATTTGTGTGACTTGGTTTCCTGCGATACTTGCTTTGTTGTGGTGGTCTGGAACCGAACCCACAACATCTCCACAGTGTGCCTGTCTTGAAGGATGAATTAACATACAAAAAACACACGTCATAATTGGTGCTCAAGAAGGGCTATGTCTCTTTCTGTGGTCATACTCTTTTTTCCCTTAACTTGGCCAACCCAAAACTTGGGGATCTTCTCTTTCTGAGACCTTCACAAGCTGAGATGTATATATAAAGTCTGAGTTTGTCCTCTAAAGGAAAAGTATTCTTTGATTATTTTTCTAGGATTTTATCTGACTTAATTTGATTCCATTAAAATTTTATATTTAGCGGGACAATGTAAAACCTACTCCGTTGATATCTAAGCATATTACATTTCTTTTACTGTCTTTCATCCTTCAGCTTCTCCCAGAAAGAGGGCAGAAAATGGGGACTCAGATTTATGTGGCTGTGGCTCTGCCCTGAGCTCAGGCCAATCTCAGAGCCATTTATTGCCTCGGGAGACTATGGTCTTTTATATTCCTGGCATTTTGTGTCCCAGGGTGTCTATGTTGGCTGTTGATTCAATGAATTATTGCTTTTTGCTCTGAATTATTTAGGATGGAGGAAGGGAGAGGGGAAAGGGAGGAATGAGAGGGGAGAAGCAGGGGAAGGCTCCTGAGCAACTCGAATTATTACAGCACTTTCCTATACATGCTTGTGCTGTGCGTGATTACAGAGTCCTTTCACATACATTTTAAAATGTAACCTTCGTAACTAGCTCATAAAATGAACAGGAAGAAAAGGATCTCCTAAGAACAGGTTTGTGCTAAGCCTTTGGAGGAGGCAACTTGAAGAAAAGGAAATTCAGAGAAAAATAGGATGCATGTATCAAGGCAGTCAAGTCATGCCACTTGTTGCTCAGAGAAGATAGAATGTGCCCAGTGGGGTTTATGTGAAGGTCTTTGATGCTTTCTCTGCAGGTGTGGTGAAGGGTGGTACGGAGGCTTGATCAGTCTTGGCCCTGGCAGTTCTGAGATGAGTCATTTTGAGAAAGGCCTTGGACCACCATGAGCTCTGGTTTCTTCACCTGTGAAATGAACCTAAAAATGCTTGCATGCTTTACCATCCTATGGGGTGTTTGTAAGAATTAACAAGAGGCATCTAAAAGCACCGTGCAGGCTGTGAAGTGCTGTACCTGGTCCTACAGCTGATACTTCCCTGCTAATGGAGAAATGGTCCTGTAGAATCAGGAGAGTATAGAACATCCAACTGAGAGTTGATTTTTTTATAGGATTGTTGGTGATCCAAAGCTTACTTATTTGTAGGTTTAAGATTTGTCTGGTAGAAAACTGTTTGATTATTTTTAGAAGTAAGATGACAACACTGATTTGTCCAGTACTTGTGCTGACAGTGGAGGGGTAATATTGAAATATTTAAGAGGTTCCTTTATGCAGATATTTTGGATAAAGCAATGCTTATGCAATATAGATTGTTATGAATTTTCCAGGTAATGGCAGGAGCTCCCTGTGTTGGGTTGTTGGGTTTTGAAAAATCCAGGTTCAAGTCCACATTCAGCTGCATAGTATCTGTGTGACCCAGGATTAGCTATTCTGTTTTTTCATTTGTAACAAAGGCTAAAAGTTCTCCTAAGGATCATTGTGAGGATCAAATGAGACAATGGGTGAGAAAATTCTCTGAAAACTATAGACAACTCCCTAAGAGTAAGGAGGTAGAATTATCATTACTCATGTTTAAAGAAATGAAACCAATAAGCAAATATTTAATGATACAAGTTAGAAGGAATCAAGCCAGAAATTAATGAGATGTAGTCAATATAGAGATACAGATTGCTGCTTTAAAAAAATATTTATTATTTTTTAAAATTCACAGATTGCTTTTTGATAATGACTTCTTTCCATATGGTTTTGGTATGGGATGCTTATGGGTGATAAATGGGGAACTATGCAAATGTGATGCATGTGAGCAAGTTTATTTCAAGATTTATAATTTGCCTTGCTGGCAAGCTATGAAATTCTAAGAGCTTAATTTGAACCTGTTCAGTCTACTGCCTGTTCCAGACTTAGAAGACTGTGAATAAGTCTGATTTAATCTTCAGTAACTCTATAAGAAAGCCATAGGGCTAACTGAACCCCAGGTGTCAGAGGATAGTGTAGGAGTTATAACTCTGCAGAAGGGTCTCCTGGGCAGGGCTAGGTGACTACCCAGACTGGATCTTCATAAATACATATGTGGTGAATTTGCTCCAACCCATGTTCTGGGTGTCAGCATTATAGCATATGAAATCCAAGTTTGTCAACTTACAGAGTAGAGCTTTTCTCTCTGGAGTGGACTCACATCATCCCTATTCATCACTTGAAATTTAAGACCTAAATGACAATTAATGAATTTTCAACGAGAAATTTAGTTACCAAGAAGCCCAGGGTTTTCTAGTTAACATATGAGAAGCCAAATTACAACCAGAAAATTGCTTGATGAGCTTGGTACCCAAACATATAGCCCCTGTCATCTGACTGGAATGTGAAAGGGTTTATCAGTCAAGTTTCTTGGTTGCAGGCAACAACATTCTCTCTTGGCTCACTTAAGCAGAAAAGGAATTTATTGGAAGTTCTCGGGTAGCTCACAGAAATGATGGGCAGGCTGACAAACCAGACTCAGAAAACAATGGCAACCAAGAGAGGCTGTGAGGAGAGAACATGGCAGGGCTCACTATCGCCTGTCTAGTGTGTCGCTGTTGTTCCAACTCTGAGCAGTTGATGCTGCTGCTACCTGTGGACTCTCAGTGCTGATACTCTTGCTGGTCTTTTGAAAATGCTCGCACCACCATGGATAGCTTCTTAACTGTCTCTGTGTCTTTGTTTCTCTCTTTCAAGATCCAAAGACTCAGGTAGGAGCATCTGGTCCCTGAATTTAGGTCTTGTGCATCTACACAGCTTGCAGAGTGCTAAGAGAGGGAACACGTGGCCCCAGACTCGTGCTTCTCGAAGTGTGATCTGCAGACTGGTGCCAGGCTATGGACTCACTGTTTTTATTTTGTGATGAGTTGGAGAACTTGTGCTAGAATATAGATCAATTTAGTGCTTTCTCTGTTTAGAAAATTTGGCTATGGAAAAAGTGTCGGCTTAACTAAACTAAACTGTTACTGAACCAAACTTGGGTTCGTTTGCCTGTGCACAGTAAGGGCAATCTACTGACACCGGGTTGTCAGTAGAAGGAAAGTGCAGTGTTAATTGCAGGGCGCCAAGCAAGGAGTTCAGGTTGGTAGTATTTAAAAGGCCCAAATTCCCTGAAGGCTTTCAGGGGAGGGTTTGTAAAGACAAGGCGATGGAGGCGGGTTGTGGGGTGTGTGATCAACACGTGGACATTCTTCTGATTGGTGGGTGGTGAAGTAATCAGGAGTCAACATCATCAACTTTCTGGTTTCAACCTGACTGGGGTCTCTACATGGTTGTGGGCAACATACAGTTAACTTCTTCCAGTTGGTGGGGTTTTCAGTATCTACAAAACAGTCCAAAGGAATGGCTCAGAATATTGTGTATAGCCCTTGAGGAGGAACTCAAGGTCCTTGACTTTAGTGGCTAAACTATTCTTATTCCGTCTTGCTTGACTATTTTCCTTTCTTTCTGCATTTTCTCCCTTCTTTGATTAAATTTACTCTTTGGAACCCCTAGGGTCCTGCTCAGTTATACTACTGAACAGAGCAATACTTCCCTAGACTTCGTAGCAGGAGGCTAGGACCTGCCATCAGAGGGTTCCCCACAAAAGGAAGGGTATTTGGAAGCTGTGTAGTCAAAAAACAAGAAACATTCACCACAAGTGACATCAGGCAAAGCCTGATGCCTACTACTCTACCATAGGGACACGTGCCATCAGGAATGTGTGACTTCTGTGGGTCTGGACACACTCTCACGTGGCTGATGCTTGGTTTGGCATGATGATACTGATTCCGGAGCTACGTTCTTTTCTACAAGGTGGGTATCTATCTACCCTGTTTGGAAGGGAAAGATTGGAGAGATGGTCTATGTCCATCTAAGTTGGCTGGTTGAGATTCCTCACGGTGATGGTGAGCCAATGCTTAGATGACAATGGAGTGGCATCGTCATCTGTCCATTCTGAGTCCTGTCCTTTCTGTCTTCCTCAAAACGAATACTCACAGCACACCCCTGGAGATATGAGCAGTTCTTTATTTGTGGTTCAGGAAATGATCCCAATGTATAGAGCTGGGGGATGGTATGAGAAGGGGAGGGGTTGCTATCAAGTACTGTGACCACGGCTTCCTTGTTCCTTTGTATTATACGTAGAGGCAAAGTCCTCATTGTCTAAGCAATTGGAGTATGTGAATGTGAATGCCCCCTTGTTCGCTAACTCTCCCACCTCTCCTTTAAGAGATTCCCCATTGAAGGGCCCCTTCTGGCACCTCCCTAGATTGCTAACCTCCCTGTAGAATAATAAAGCCCCTGTCTCTTCTTGAGACTTTTGAATTCAGACTTCCCAGCAGTCTACTGGATGTGAAGAGCTTTCCCCTGGTACTACAGTATGGGATGCTCTGGCCCTGTGAATGAGGTGGGCAAAAGATGGCCAACTGCAGATGATTTCTCTCTTAGGTTCCTAAAAATTGAACATCACTCACCACCTAGGGCACTAATCGCCTTGCAAAGACTACTTGAAAATTGCATAGTAATATCAACTTGACTTTGGAACCGTTCCTTAACGTGCTAGTGCTATATTCATTGCTTACACATTTTGAGCTTCAGGATGAAACTTCTACATGACAGTGCCAATGAATGGCATTCCAGTGAAGTTGTTCTTCTGTGAAGTTCAGTGTTCTTCCTACCTCTCACTTTGATAATGGAGGAAGGGAGGGAGTGTGGGGAAGAAGTTTCAGTTCAATCTACCTTATTCTCCCACTCTCTCTGTAGCTGACAAAACTCTACTTCATATAGATACGTTCACCTTTAATCACATTATAGACACATCTTGTGGTCTGAGAGCAAATCTACACCACTAAGATAACATATGATATTTTGATAGTATTGATTAATCTGAGCTGCTTGCCATGTGCCCCACCTAGGTAGTAAGGATCATTATATATTTGTCCATTGTAACTTGAAAAACTCTGAAAAATGCATATTTAATGCTATGTGCTTAAAAACACAATATAAAGGAAAAAAGGGAGGGAAAAAAAGAAAATGAAGATAGGAAGGGAAGAAAGAGAAAAAAATCACTCAAATCTAGGAAGTGAAAGGTTATTTCTTTATGTTTTCAAATGCTATGTGGTGGGTACATTAAAATAATTGGAATTTTCTGGTGTAATTACTTACCATAGAATGATTCCTATCCTGCATCTGTTGATGGACTCATGCCATAATGATTCATTTTCTCTATGAGGAAGAGAACTGGAGAGCTGTTACCTTTAGTCATATTACTGCAGCCTCCTTCCAAAGGGATTTGTTTGCATTAGTGAAGGAAAGAACTTTTTTCCTGAAGCAATCTGAAGACAAAGGTGTTGAGGGCATTCATTGATTCCATTAAAAAGTGATCTTGTTTTGCTTCTATATCCCATAACTCCTGATTCGATGGGCTTGATTTTGCTGAGTTGATCTGCTTTAGCAGTTTGAAAATGAAAGAGCAGTAAGTGACTATAGGAGAGGGGAGTTACTAAAGAAGAGTGGGGCCAGAGAAGGAAAGGATAGCCCATGGGAGGAGGAGAGCGGGACACGCACTGTTGTCGTATCTGATGATGGGAAGAGGGCAGGTAGGACTCCATCTTCACATGGTGCAAAAGTTCTCTGATGTTTCACATTTATGGGACAAAAATCAATGAGTCATTAAGCCAAGTTTTTAAGGACTGTCGTGTGCTGAGCAATGTGTAGGGGAGAACAGGAGATGTTAAAATATAGACACATGCAAAATTATAACAAAATATTCTCTATGGTATATGCTAAAGGCTAAGTAGAAATGAGAAGTGTTAAGAGCTCTGAGAGGTTAGTCAAGTCACGTTGGGGAAGTTTGATGTTGGTTAGACACTGAGGGATGGGACAATAATGTCAAGAACTATAGAGGGTCTATTTTACCCTTCTTGGAAGCTAACAAGTTAACCTGCCACAGTTTCATGGATGCTGGCAAAAGACCCCAAGATCAGAGACACGGGACTTTATTGCTCACAGTATAGCAAGTAGAACGAGCTAGAATTTTTTCTCTTATCTTATAGAAGGAATAATAAGGGGAAATAAAGAGATCAGGAAGTACAGCTTGTTCCTGACACAGTAGAAAGTAAGAATCCAAATTGGGTTTTGTCACAGCAGATGTAGCCCAGACAGTGGGGCTCCCTACAACATAATTATCTCGAAGAGGAGGTCTGGCTTCCAGCTCATTCCTTATTCCTCTTCCTTGGCTCAGTCCTGCTCGCTTTGGTCTCTGATTGCTATGGAGAGCCCTCATTCAGCTGTTAAATAAAACATAGCGAATGAGGGGTTATTATCTAAGGGCCTGTTCTCTTTCAGGATCACCTTCCCTTAGGCCAGTGCCATCCAATACCATAGCCATGAGCTACATGTGGCTATTGAGCCCTTGAACTGTGGCTAGTCTGGACTGAAACATGCTGTAAGGGCTGAATATACACAGGGTTTCAAAGACTTAGTAAAGAAAAGGCAAATATTTCATTAATGATTTTTATATTGATTACATGTTGAGATAATATTTTGGCTACCTTATTTAAATGAAACATATTATTAAAATTAATTTCACCTGTTTCTTTTTACTTTTTAAAATATGTGGCTACAAGAAATGTTAAATTCCATATGTGGCTTGCGTTTGTGATGCACATTATTATTTCTGCTGGGTAGTGCTGCTCAGGCGCATTTGAGAAAGAGGCGAGGCTTCCTCAGTCCCTCCTTGTCAACCTCTGAGGGCTGTGTAATTCCTATGCCTTCATGGACCACAGCTGGCCATGGCCTGAGCTGCTGATCTGCCTTAAAATGTAGTCCTCCTGCATGTACCCCTACTGCTGCCTCTAACCAGAGTGTCCTCAGAGGGGAGGAGGAGGGATTTTGTCACGACACACCTCCCCTCATGACCTTGTCTCTCACTGCCTTCACAGCGTCCCCTCGCAAAGATTTGCAGGTGAATCAGGCTTTCCTGAAGGATCAAAGAATCCTAAAGGGAATTACAACCTGTGAAGGAAGGACTTTTAAACTAGAATCTTATGATTAAAATTCCAGAAACATCAACCTTCACCATCAACCAATCAGAAGAAAGTCCATGAGCTGCAACCCTCATCCCAGATGTTGTCTTTAAAAACCCTTTCCTGAAAGCTGTCATGGAGTTCAGATCTTTTAAACATGAGCTACACATTGTCCTTGCTTAGCGCCCTGCAATAAACACTGTGCTTTTCTTCACCACAACCCTGTGTCAGTAAACTGGCTTTGCTGGGCTGCAGAAGTTTGGTTTTGTAATAACCACACATACACACAGACATTGCCTGTCTTAGTTTGGATTTCCCCCAAAACAGACTCAAGGCAAGGATTTGGGTTGTTTATTTTGAAAGTGATTCCAGGAAGAGAAACAGGAAAGGTAGAAAGTCAGTCAAGAGGTGCGTGGAAGAGCTGGATACCACCATGGGCAACAGAGGCTCAAACCCCCCCACCCCTGCCCGGGGAGTTTCAGAGAGGCTCTGGAACAGCGCTCTGAGGAGTAAGAAATTGAGATCTTTATCTACCCACTCCCATCCCTTGGAGGGTGTGTAGGTGAGCATGTTCCTTTAGTGGCCATCAAATATCCTTGGGGGCGTCCTTTGGACTATAAGGGGATTCTCTGCCGGTGACCTCTGGGAGGTCTGAGGGCTGTGAGCAAGGCACCTTCAGCACCTGCTATATTGCCCAACAAGATGCCAGATGCATAAGAGGTGCTTAATAAATGTTTATTGAATGAATGAATGAACACTCATCATTCAAAGACAAGCTTTAGTTCTCAGACTGTAATCAAAACTTGATGGTGAAGAGGATAGACTTTTCCTTAAATGTCCCATAATTATAAGGCTGCTCCTCCTGATTTATAGTAGACTTGGCATCTCATTTTATCATGCATCCACCCCTTACCTTCTCTTCTCCCCTTAGACCTGCTAAGAATGAGAAAAGGCTGAATCACCGATCCTCTTAATGACAGCTCCTTTAGCTTCAGGAGGACTGAAAATTAACTTACGAAGGCACAATGAAGTTCTTAGATGGAAAATTCTACCCTCTTCCCATCCCTGCTAGTGGCAACTGGGGAGTTGGGTGATGGGCTGACTGGTGTGTTCTTCAATTAGAGTTGTTTATTTTGACATCTTTTCTCCCTGGTTTTGGTGCATTTTACTGAGATTGAAAATGATGGGGTTGGGGTGTATGCTGCAAGTCCTCAAATCACATGAATTGAGGCCAGATCTGTTGTGTGACGTTCTTGGTGGTAGGCAGTGCCAACATCATAGAGCTGATTCAGGAAGACGTGAACTAAATGCACATGAATGGGCTCCTCTGACAAAAGACTTCCGGATATGTAGCGAAAGAGAAAAAAGATGATTTCACAAAGATGTATTGAGCAGCAACCATATATTAGATATTATGTTAATATTATATGCCCACCTTTGACACAATAAAACTGCATTAGTACTAATTAATTAACTTATTATCTGTCACTTTCTTAGGAACTCATTTGGGGGAACCCAAATTTCACTATACTGTATATAAAATAGAAGTGTTTAAAGATACTTAAAAAATGTTAAAATTGGGGCACATAACAAATATAAAATGAACACATGTGAAATCTTATTTATCTCATTAATTACCATGGGAACCAGTAAGATGTTACAACCAGTTCAAAGGAGAATTAAAAGAATGGACATATAAAGGCAGTCAGGAATGCTTCCAAGAATTTAGACATAGATGCAAAACTGGTCAATATACACTAGCAATAATCCAGTCCATTCTACTGAGACACAATTCATTTGCATTTCAATGGATGGGGATCATTTACATCATAATCATTTTTCTACGATTCATAGAGTTGTAAAATAGCTCAAAGACATTGAAAGGCACAAGCCCCTATAGAATCAGATAACCTGAAAGGATGCACCAGTCAGGACACCCAGAAAATAATTTTTGAAAGGGTCCATTTTGAAGTCTTTCATAGGTTTTCTTGACAGAAGTAAAGAAATGTTCTCTGAGCAGTCTAGTAGGAAGCAGAATGTAGACTGCAGACTGGCCAAGTCTTCTAAATCAGAAGAAAAATGATTTCTTGTGGCAGTACCGCTTGCTAGCCAAGAGATGAATGAAGAGTCATTTGGGATTACGTCTTTTAAGTACAAGAGTACTGATCTCAATTGGGGAAAGAACAATCGAAGTGAAATGTGATGAAATTTGCACTGGGGAGAGGAATAGGATCAATTTAGCAGACACTTCAGTTACAAAATGTTCAGCTACAGATCAAAACTGTTGAGGGAAAAACTGTTCATAAAACCTTCTTAATTCAGATTTCCTGATGAATTTTGGTGTGAGGTGGGATGGAAATTATTATTTTCTTTA